GCCGCACAGCATCATGTAGGCGACGGAGGACATCCCTGTAGTACTCTTTGGTGATTGTTTGACCCTGTGGTGCGTACTCGTGGTGTACCACACCGTGGGAGTCAAAGAAAACAGTCAGCATCACTTGGACGTTGCTGCGAACTTGGCGGGCCTTCTTTGGTCTTGGTGACGTGGAATGCTTCCACTGTGACGACTGAAATTTGGTTTCCGGGTCATACCCATACACCCAAGACTCGTCACCAGTGATTATGGTGTTCATGAAGTCGGGGTCACTGTTTGTGGAGTCCAGCATGTCCTGTGAGACTTCAACACGAAGTTCCTTTTGCTCCGCCGTAAGCAGCTTCGGCACGAATTTCGCCGCCACTCTCTTCATAGCCAAATCTTCGGTCATAATGGAATGTGCCGAAAAAGTGCTGATGGCCACCTCTTCCGCAATTTCTCGGATAGTCACACGACGGTCCCGCATCACCATAGCATTCACTTTGGCAATGACCTGGTTATTTCGGCATGTTGATGGCCGACCGGAGCGTGGCTCGCTCTCCACCGTTGTGCGGCCGTCTTTAAACCGGTTGTACCACTCCTTAATCTGTGTGATGCCCATAGCATCGTCATCGAAAGCCGTCTGAATCTTCCGAATGGTTTCCACCTGGCTGTCGCCCAGTTACTGGCAAAATTTGATGCAGTAGCGCTGCTCCAGTCATTCCGTCATTTTCCTTGCAATGAAAAACCGACAAGAGCACTACATACTACCTCACTCAATGGCTGCTTGCCAACAACTGACGCAATCAACAAGCGGGAAAAATTCACGCATGCGCACGAAGGTTCAAGGTCGGCTCATGCAAGCGCGCTTGATTCAAATCCATCAGGTTATTGAAAAAAAAAGTAAGGTCGGATACTTTTCTCACAGGCCTCGTACTAGGAAAATGTAAATTCAATCCTGCATGGCAGGAGATGTAGTTGTATGCTGGTTGGCTGTTACCAGACCCCAATAAAATTAACCATATGCACTGTAAAATATGTATGAAAGACTTTGACATTGGAAATTTGAAAGAGTCTGCGCTCAAGCCACATTAAGTCTGCAAAACATTAAATCTCTAATGAACAGTGCAGAAAGTTCCATCGGGGATTTCTTTCCAATGACTTCCACTGCTGTGCAATCAATTACCGCCACACACATGGCACAGAGACTGAACAGGTAAGTTTTTATTT